CCTCCGGAGACTGTTCCTGCTCTTCTGTCCTCTTTGTTCCCTAACTGCACAGGCCTGGATTTTTATTATGTCTTCTTGGCATGGCTGAGGCCACACTATAATGTTTAACAAGGTTTTACCTGAGCTTTAACGATAAAGGAAGGAACATAAACTCATATACATGCACATATCCTCCCCCACCCCAGGAACTATATAGATATACATATAGACATAGATATAAAGATATAGATATAGATATAAATATAATCTCCCAGGAAATACTTTACAAATATTGCACAGACTAAGATCTGCCCTGTGCTTTCTCACCAGACCACTACCCTCCTGTCTTCGTGGCTTGCACGTGACCAGGGACAGCTCACCCCCACTGCCAGAAATACTTGGGGCACTTTCATCCTCAGACCCAGCACCAAACTGAGCCATGGCTTCAGAGAGGAGGAAGTTATATTCTTCCTCTCAATCCAGGACCCCTAATTCCTGTCCCAGAAATGATCTCTTGCCAGGATGATCGACGGCTGGAATGTTGCAACCTTCAGGAGAACTGGGCCTCTGCCTGCAAGTGCGTGGTCTGGCTACAAGGCAATCACACAAAGAAGTGATATCAATATATTTTCCCAAGTTTGATTTCAAAAAGTCTATGGATGCAGGTTCACGCATGGACTTTTTGTGAGGAACACTTAAGAGGATTTCAGTAAAACAGCGCTTTAAATTATTAATGGACCATCACCAGAGTCTCTCTTGACAGAACCACTATGGACTGAGTACAGTCCACAGTGTAGAGAGTCCTTGGCAGATCTTCAGATGGAGCTAACGTAGTTCCTGTAGGTTCCAATGGGTTGTAAGGATGGATGAAAGAGCAATACGGCAGCCTTAAAACATGACCACAAATTCTCCGACACTCTTCCTATCAAGAAGTAGAGTCTGTGTCCTCTGCCCTGAAATCTGGCCGAGCCCGTGTCTGCTTTGACCAATATCGAATGACAGAGTGATGCCATGTGACTTCCAAGACCAGGTCACAAAAGACCACACAGTCCAGACTTGCTGTCTGGGATATTTGCCCTTGGAGCCCTGAACTCCCACGTAAGTGGTCCAACTAGCCTGAAGCTACCATGCTGCGGAGACACATATACAGGTGCTGTGGCAGAGAGCCCAGCTAAGTCTGTCCTTCATCTAGCCTAGCTCACAGACTGGATGTGAGCCAACAAGCCGTCTTGGAAGTGGATCTTCCAGCTCCAACAGTTCTAGCCCCCTGCTATGTGAGTCATCCCAGATGTGGCCCCAGACATCCTAGAGGGAGAAGAGCCATGCATTCTGCTTCCTTTCCAAATTCCTGACCTACAGAGTCTGTAGAGCATAGTGATAAAATTGGTGTTCTTTCATACCGCTAAGTATTGGGATGGTTTATTCTGCAACAGTAGATGAGTGAAACATGCAACCTCTTTTCAATTATTTCCCTTCTTTAGTATTAAATTTCACATCCTTATCTCTTCAAGCACAGATCTTCCTCAACTTATGATTGTGTTACATCCCAATAAACCCATCGTAAGTTGAAAATGCATTTAATAAACCCAACCCACCGAAAATCATAGCTTAGCCCACCCTAAACATGCTCATAACACTTAGATTAACCTACAGTTGGGCACAATCCTCTAACACAAAGCCTATTTTATAATAAAGTGTTGATTATCTCGTGTAACTGATTGAAGACTGCACTGAAAGTGACAAACAGAATGGTGGTCTGGGGACAGAACGGTTGTCAGTGGATCGGTTGCTCACCCTTGTGATTGCGGGGCTGACTGGGAGCTGCAGTCACAGCCTCTGCCCAGCATCACGAGAGAGGATCATGCTGTACGTTGCTAGCCCAGGAAAAGATCACAATTCAAAATTCGAAGTATGGTTTCTATTGAATTCATGAGACTTTCACACCGTCGCCAAGTCAAAAAATTGTAAGTCAAACCATTGTAAGTTGGGAACTGTCTGTATAAGAATAGAAATGTCATGTTGCTTACTTTTACTTGTTTCATTTCAACTGTAGTGGGAATGTGTTCATTTCCTGGAGCTGTTTTAACAAATCGCCATGAACTTGATGGCTTGAAAAAGAGAGATTTCTTCTCTCACAGCTCTGGAGGCTCGGAGTCCAAAACAGAGGTGTCGGCAGGGCGGTGCTTCCTTAGGGAAGATGCCTTCCTTTCCTCTTCCTGTGTTGGGTGGCCCCAGGCATTCCTTGGCTTGTGGCTGCATCGCTTCAATCTCTGCCTCTGTCCTCGTGTGGCCTCCTCTGTGTGTATCTCTCTGTGTCCTCTCCTCTCCTTCTAAGGACAACTGTCATTGGATTTAGGGCCCATCCTAAAACCAGAATGACTTTATCTCAAGATCCTTAACTAACGACATCTGCAAAGTCCTTATTTTCAAATAAAGTCACTTTCTGAGGTTCTGGGTAGACATGAGTTTTCAGGGGACGGTTTCAACCCACTAGAACAGATCACAAATCTCAGGGCAAAGGGTAGCTTTCTTTTTTCTACTATTCAATTTGATCAATATGTCAAGTAACTCTGTTCACTTGATAGCAGAATTGAGGTTTAAACTCAACCTCTTTGGGATAAACCGAATTTGAGGAGTCTTCCTCTCTTTCCTTTATTCCTCAGGTGGAAGGGAAGTCCTGGTATTTCTGGGGGCGAGGCAGTGTCTGGCGACGCTGAGGAGGGCAGTATTAGGTATAGCCATCTCTGTCTTCTGCTGGCCCTCCTTGACGTCTACCTGGCTGGAGCAATTTACTGCTAAGCTATTGAAGTTTAAGCTGCAGGGTCCTCTGAAGGCCTTAGAATGTGTTCAAATGGTCATGTGTTTATAAAATTCGCAAAAGTAAGCAACAAATTAAGACTGCCGTTTTTTTTCTGCTCTGACTTCCCCTCCGTTTCTATTTTCCTTGTGTGGGTGTTGAGAGTGGCCCTGGGTGACTTTTGTATTTGCTTGAGTGGAGTTTAGGTTGGAAGGATATTTAGCTTGCGTTAAATGGGATGTATTTATGTGGTTTTTCGACGATATCACGCATAGTTATTAATAACCATCCTGATGGGGAAGGACTTCCAGGAATACTCCCCCAGCCCACTGGGTGGATTTATCCACTGCTGGGACATAAATGTGCAATCAGAGAACAATCTGCACCAGTGCTGAAAGCATGTGGGGAGTGGAGGAGAAATAATGCGTAAAATGTGTGGAGCTAGAGGCCAGTCTGGAAAATTCTTCTAGTCATCAAAGTATAAAGCTGTAAGCATAGGATTAGGTCCTCTCTAAGGCCCCCTCGAAAGAGTAGTTCTCCTCAATTGGGAATAACCTTGGTAATACAGAGTATTCAATTACAAGTTCACTATGTATGTTTTTTATTTTCTGATCAGATTCACATGAAATAGGATTTATCTGAGTTTCTATGCTTATGGGACACCAGCCTGTAGCAGTATCACAAATAGTGGATACACCTGCAACCACTTTCATATGAAAGAGAGATCATAGAGGTTTCCTCAAACTTGAAAACAATCCTAAACATTTATATAACATTATCAATAGCAACTTGTGAAGTGGAAAGGAACTTTTCCAAACTTGTCAATAATAGAACATTTTGAACAAACATGATAGAGAAAAGGGCTGTATTATATTTATATTCTCTCTATAAAAATGATATTATTGGGGCTGGCCCCATAGCCCAGTGGTTAAGTTCAGTGCACTCTGCTTTGGCAGCTCGAGTTCAGTTCCCAGGCACAGACCTACAGCACTCATCAGCCATGCTGTGGCAGTGACCCACATACAAAATAGAGGAAGATTGGCGCAGATGTTAGCTCAGGGACAATCTTCCTTAAGCAAAAAGAGGAGGATTGGCAACAGATGTCAGCTCAGGGTGAATCTTCCTCAGAAAGAAAAAAATGATACTATGAAATAGATAGCTAATAAATGTATGTTAAAAGTACAATAAAGGTGTTTTAAGCAGTTAATTGATAACAAATCTTAATTTTCTGGACTTCATGATGTTTGTGCTATTTGCCAGTTTTAAATTTATATATCATTCTGTGTTCTTTTCTTACTCTATTAACATTCATACCTACTTTTATATTTATAATGTTGCATTCTTTTCCTTCAGGGGTACCCCAAATATATCAGCTTTGGGGTCCCACAAAACCTGAATCCTCTCCTGTCTCTCCTTTTTTTTTTTTTAAATATTGGCACCTGAGTTAACAACTGTTGCCAATCTTCTTTTTTTTTTTTTCTGCCTTTTCTCCCCAAATTCCCCCAGTTCATAGTTGTATATTTTAGTTGTGAGTCCTTCTAGTTGTGGCATGTGGGACGCCGCCTCAGCATGGCCTGATGAGCGGTGCCATGTCTGCAGTGGGATCCGAACCAGTGAAACCCTGGGCTGCCAAAGTGGAGTGCGTGAACTTAACCACTTGGCCATGGGGCCGGCCCCTCTCTCTCCTTTAATCTGCACAAACCCCTCTGGAATTTCTATTAGTTCTTCCTCTGCTTCTAAAGACTTGACCTGGAAGGGGGTAGCCTGGCTCCTTGCCTAGTCTCTTTTCAAGTTATAGACCAGGGCAAAACGTTAATGCCATGCTTTCTTTGGGCTTGGTCTTCTGAAGCAGGAAATGACGTGTTTGAGTTGTAGCATGAATGAGTTGTAATGTAAAGGGAGTTCATACTCTTTGGAAAGGGATTCATGCCTCATTGATTCTCTAGTTGGGGGAAGGGGACTGGCAATGAATGCTTAGACTCTAAAGAAGCTTGTTAAGACAACAGTTATCTTGGATGTTGGAACAAGGGAGGTGACATTTCCTTCCTGTCTTTAAACCATTCCATGGATCCATGAAAAAAATATTGACAATGTGGTCCCTTAGGAATTGGGAACACCAGAAGCTTGTTTTATTGAACATGTTCAGAAATAACTAGGGAACAGCATTGTATAGTGAATTTTCTAAGTCTCTAGTATCATCCATGGTGGTCTTGTCCATGGTGTCATCAAAGTCTTTCAGGAATTGAAGGTCTATAGAATCATCAAAATCTTTCAGGAAGTGAAGGATGACGTTACTGCAAAAAGACCCTCCAAGATCCCAAGAATGGGCAAAATGATGCTGGCTTACCTTAGCCCCAGCCAGTATAAGGTTAGATGAATGAGGCTGAGGCTCAAAGAGGCCAAGAGGCTCAGCCCTGGCATCTAAGAGAATTTCCCCTGTGATTCTTTTTACATCCTCATGGTGTGCACTGGAATGAATCAAGGCTTGTGAGTCTCATTGGGAAGGGCAAAGAAAACAGCAAAGGGATAGTATGACCCCACATAAAATCAACGAGAACTTACTCTGGAAATGCCGCTGGATGGCCCCAATGAAGTTAGAGAAACAGAGAAGGAAACTAGCGTGATCAAGTGGATGGAGGATCTTCAAATTGAGGACTGATGTTTTTACATTTTTAGAGTCGTATCTTTAAGTCTGGAAAGCTGAAAGCTTCCACATCACAAAAGGTGTGAAGGGATTCAATAATAAAAGCTAAGAACCACAATATATGGGAAATTACAGGAAAATTCTTGGAGCTCAAAATAAGTGACTTTTGGATCCATGAAATTATGCATCGCTTCACATCGCGGATAGTAGACTCAGGGGACTTTGGCATGTAAACAACAGGGAGTACGAAAGGGCCATGTGTGTAAAAAAAACCCAAGCAATCTCCAAGGACTTATAAAAATCATCTTTTGCTACTCCCACAGATTCCTAAGATGCTTCGGAGGAATAGGAACTTCAAAGTGATGTGGAGGTCCTATAGTATCTCAGATGAGCAGTTGTACAATTTTGCTAGAAAACTTCAAGTCTGTTATTCAAAGAGGGGATCAAGAGCCTGTCTTTGGAAGCCAAGAGACCTGGATTTGCATCTGGGTTTGAATCTGGACTCAGCCACTTACTACCTCTGAGTTGTGGGGACGATCACTTAATCTCTCTGAATTTCAGTTTCCACATCTGTAGCACGTGGAAACATGCTCATGGACACGAGACTCTTTTCCCCCACAAACTCACAAGGTGTTGTCAGGATTAAATAAGATAATATGTGTAGGACCTAACACACTCAATAAATGGTACATTTTATGAACTCATTTGTACCTGTAAATTCCTGAAGCCTCAGTTACAGATAAAACATGTACGTATTTTTACAGTGAGCATTTGAAGCAATTGAAGCATACCTAGGGAGTTCATGACCTTGGTTATTTATTTGTTGTGTGTGAAGACACATGCTGACTGGGCACTTCATATAACTCCATCCCACTACTGTCCCTGTAAGTGGTTACAGATATTAAATAGATGGCATTGGGATTTACTGTGAAGTCCAAGATGGTTCTATCAACCCTCGTGAAATTACTTTCATCAACAAATGTCAGCTTTGGAATTTTCCTTATAAAAGCTAATTCCAGTCTTCCTTGGAATTCTTAAATAGCTCAGCAAGCATTTGAGATCTGATATAAGCAAAGAAACCATTTGCTTAGGAAGAAATAAACTACCTTAAATGCATACACACTTGCAAAACACAGTCATTGCTTTCACTGCTTTCTTTTAGTATTTTGGGGCCAAGCTCTCTAGTCATGGGCTACACAAAAGCTTTTTCTGAAATCCATCTCCTGCAAGAGATTAGCACCAATTCTGAGAGATTCCATTCGTCTTGTTTACATTCCTTGTGCAATTTCGGGAACACTGTGTTCCTTTTCTTGCAGTTACACAACGACATTGCCATGCAGCACTGGACAAGCTTCCCACTTCATGCCTGGATTTCCGGCCAGCATTCTTTGCAGACAGCTCTGGGATGTCTAGGTGGGCTGGTACAGAGAAAAGAACATGGGCTTTAGAGACAGTCAGACAAACCTGGGCTCAAGCCCTTCTGCTGCCATTTGTGATGTACTTACTTAATCTGACTCTTAGTTTGTTTTCCTTCTCTTCTGTAAAGTGGAAATAATCATATAGTCTCGGGAGGATCATTGTGAGGATCAAATAAGACAATGTGTGGCGAGTCTCCAGCATAGTGCCTCACAATCGTAAGTATTCCCATAAATGAAGTCCTCACAATCGTAAGTATTCCCATAAATGAAGTCATTATTTTAAGAGTGGCACTAAGGCAATGTGCAATGTTCTTTTCTTTGCTGCAATCTCCAACACCAAAATGCTCTGCCTTGCTTAAAGTTGCCAAAGATGCACACAAGGTGTTCCACTGGAGAAGGCGCTATCAAGATATGGGTTCTTGCCTTTAGTAACTATCTTTTAAGATGTTCTGTGGCTTAGCAAAAAGGCTGTCTGGGTGACCAGTTGGTCACTTTCTGAATCAATGTTGTAACATCTCTGGAGACAGAGGAGGCATACCTCACTATGAACTGTGAAGAAGCAGATACGTGAAGGGAAGGGAAGTGGGCCTTGTACGATGATGACAAGAACACTTACAATAATCCAAAACAAGTGTTGTGTCTCTGCAGCTTACCTTTTGCATGACTGAAGAGGAGTGTATGTGGCCACAGATTGTATGTAATTGTTATGCACAGTTATGTAGAATGAACACTCACTTTTCAGTGAATACATTCTCTTCAAACTTCCTTCACGTGGGGGTTATTCTATGAAAGTGAAGATGCCAGGCTGGCCCTGAACAGTCTGAGAAGACTTACTTGAGTGAGTCTTGCCAGGGAGGGATAAACGGGTTGGTGTTTGCCTTGTATGTGCTAAGCATTTGCTCTTAGAAGGTCGTGGGAAGCACCCCAAGGAGCGATGGTGGGGAGCTCCTGGTACTCACAGTATGGCATGGCGGAGGGAGAACAGATTTTAGAGTTACGTAGGTCTAGACTTGACTCTTGGCTCCGCCACTCATCCTTTACTTTGAAAGAGCTGCTTCACCTTGCTGATGTACCTCATTTTAAAATGAAAACAATAATGTCTACCTTGCAGAGCAGTAGTTACTATTATAGATAAAAAGTTCTACTGTACTTTGCACAGTGCCTGGTAGAATGGGATAACAATAAATGATGGTCTATATTGCCGTTGCTTAAAAATAATCTAGGCCTACATAGAAGAAGGGTGATGGGGCCACAAACCAGGCCAATTTGTTATGCAAATGAACGGGTCTCTACACAGGCCTGTTTGCCCTGGGCATTACATCATTAGTAGGTGCTCACAGAAGAATAACGACAGCTAGAATTTATTACTAAGTGAAATTCTGGCCAGGGCCTAGTGCCATAGCAACCTTCTTGATGCCTGGTTGGCCTGGGGGCACTGACCATGCTAATGTGTCCATCTATCACTGAGGACCTGAGGAACACTCTCCTCTTTCACAAGGCCCTCCCACATGTGGTAGAGCTCCTTGGGTGGATGAACACTGGCAACTTGAAGGGCCGTGGCAATACTGTGCTTTGAGTGTGAGCTGGGCCAGCATAATGTCATCCATCTGTCCCACTTTCTCATGGGAAGGACCATCTCCCAGCTCCATAGCACCGCTCCCAACCAAATGTAATACAGACCAAGACAGCAAAGCATGAGTCTTCTGGATCTAGTGGGACTGGGCTTGATCTGATAATCTATGGCACTATCCCACTGGCTTGGGGATGGATAGAATCCATAGTGTAAATGAGATGTGTAAAGGAGAAGGGTTGGTTGTTCACCAAAGGACTATGCTCCCTTCTGTGTTGCTGGAAAGTGGATACTCAGCCAGGGATGACATTCCCCAGAAACATTTGCATCTAATTTGGGCCATGTGATTGGGTTCTGGCTATCAGAATGTGGGCAAAATTGATATAAACACTTCCAGGCTTGACCTATAAAAACCTTGTGCGTGATCCTTTGCTCTTTCTATCCTGTATGTTGGCTGGATGTCAAATGCCACGGGCAGCATGCAAGTCACGCACTGAGGATGGCATTCTCTTTCAGTGGGGTCTCCACTGTAGACGGTGTAGAGTGGAGCTCTGCCTTTCCTTGCCTTGTGTTAATCAGACATTACATGAGTGGGAAATAAATTTCATAAATTAAATTTTGTATTTCATATGAATATATAATAGCTAGTACCATCTTAATTAATGCAAGATGATCTGTAACTGACTTTCCCCCAAATGTCAGCCCAGGTAAGCTGGAGATTTGGCAGTGTAGCGAGCAGATAATTGGGGGTGTCTGGCAGGTGATCACACTAAGTGAGACCAACATAACTTAAATTGACATTCAGCACATATTTACAACCTTCAGGACAAGAAGAAGGAAGCTTGATATTTAAAATTTAAGTCTAGAGCCTTGAATGTTGAGTAGATTATAATGCATGATAAGCCCCAGCTAAGACAGAAGGAAACATCCATTTACTACAGATTATTTTTTTTTTCTGAGGAAGATCGCTCTGAGCTAACATCTGATGCCAATCCTCCTCTTTTTTTGCTTGAGGAAGCTTAGCCCTGAGCTAACTTCTGTGCCAATCCTCCTCTATTTTTTCTCATGGGAGCCACCTCCACAGCATGGCTGGTGAGTGGAGTAGGTCCACGCCCGGGATCTGAACCTGTAAACCTGGGTTGCCAAAGTGATGTGTGTGGAACTTTAACCCATTGGCCATGGGGCTGGCCCCCATTTACTACAGACTTTTAAAGGTTGTTTCTGGGCCTGCCCAGCAGCACAGCAGTTAAGTGCGCACGTTCCGCTTCGGCGGCCCGGGGTTTGCCAGTTCGGATCCCGGGTGTGGACATGGCACTGCTTGGTAAACCATGCTGTGGTAGGCATCCCACATGTAAAGTGGAGGAAGATGGGCACAGATGTTAGCTCAGGGCCAGTCTTCCTCAGCAAAAAAAGGAGGATTGGCAGCAGATGTTAGCTCAGGGCTAATCTTCCTCAAAAAAAAATAAATAAAAAGGTTGTTTCTTGGAATTTCTTTATCCAAATGAACATTTTTGGAGTTCCTGCTCAGTAATTATTTACTGATGAATTAATTTAATCAGGGAAGAAAATCCAAGGACTTTATATTCCCATCCTGATTTGTGCAAAATTGTTCAGATGTCTTAAAGCAAAGGAAAAATATAGTCCGAATAATAATCAGTTGGATTCCTAAACGTCTTAACAAGATTGATAAATGACTGCTTAACTGTCAAGGTAATATCACAACATCTCCTGGGTTTTGTCTTTCATTTCAACCCTCTCCCACATAAGGAAGCGTCCTGGGTGAGACGGCTGTCTTTCACTTCTGTAGCTTTGGTGGGCATTCCTCTCCTGACCTTTATCAGCCTGGCCCATAGACTTCTCGCACTGGGAAGTTCGCCAAGTCCCTCACATTTCAGCCACATAAGGCAAAACTCACCAGAAGCATGCCCTTCCCTTCTTTTCCCGGCAACAATTACTTTATCCAGTCTCTGGGAAGTGCTGTCCACCGTCAGCTGTGCAGTGTGTGTGTACATGTGTGTGTCTTACCCACGAAACAATGCAGCATAAAAAAGACATTTACAAGAAGCAACAGAAAGGGCTTTTCCCAGGACTGCCTGCAAATCCCTAACCTGTCAGACAAGCTTCCTTCGTCACTTTCCTCCTGCAGGAGCTGCTCCGGCCTAAGCTGGGTGGTGGTCTGCCTTGCACCGGGAGGGCAGTTCACCCCGGGGGATCCTGGCAGGGGGTGTTGTGCATATTTTCAGTGGTCTCTAGACACCCAAATTCTGCTCACTTTTCTCTTCTAGAAAAGTGATCTACTCCCCGAAAGTATTTTTTTCTTGCTTCAAGTAAAACAAGTGTCTTAGAATTGATGTTTGTCATGTTTTTCTCTCATCCAGCACTGTATCTGAGATTCTGGAGATGCCACTAATTGTCCTCTAGTTTTCCTGGGGGTTAGTCTACGTACTAACGTAACGGCTATAATCATAACTCTGATTCAGGAACATTCCCAAACAGTCGATTCAGTGAAAATATGAATACTGCTCATACCTGGTGTCCCGGTTACTGTTGTTGTATAAGACATTACCCCCAAAATTTAGTGGTTTAAAACAACCATCTGATTATGCTCATAGGTTCTGTGGATTTGGAATAGAGACGGCAGGAGTGGCTTGCCACTGTTCCATGATATCTCGTGCCTGGATAGCTGGGAGCGACACAGCAGTTGGGTGATAAAATCATCTGAAGGCTCCTTCACTCACATGCCTGGTGCCTGGCCTGGGAGCACTTGAACGTGAGCACCATTGACTAGAGCACCCATCCAGGGCCTCTCCTTGTGGTGTGGCTTCCTCGCAGCATGGCGACCTCAGGGTAATCGGACTTCTAACATGGAAGCTCGGAGTTCCCAGTGCAAGTGCTTCAGGAGGCAACACAGAAGCTCCACGGCCTTTTATGACCTGAAGTCGTGCAGCATCACTTCCACTGCATTCTATTGGTGGCAGTCAAGTCACAGATTCAAGGGAAGGAGAATTAGACTCCATGTCTTAAGGGGTTAGTGGCAAGGTTCTAGAAGAGCTTGGATGGGAGATGTTGTGATCTCTTCATCTTTGGAAAATATAATCGGAAAATATAATCGGGATTCATGTTGCAGAATTTGAAGTCACACGTGGTCAGTGCTCTGCACTTTGCAAACAAAGTCCAGGAGGGGAAAAATCTTTTCTCATGGAGGTGAATCTGGTTGCATTCTAGCCAAACCTGGAAAGATGAGACAGACAAGCAGGAACTAAATTAGGCAGAGGAGACTGCGTTTTAATACACGGGGGTAAGAAAGTATGGGAAAATGTGACCACAGCCTTGAACCTACGGGATTGGAGAGGGGCTTGGGGGGGAAGGAGGCAAGCTCGAAATGTAGATGGAGGCCGAATTTGTTTGAGCATTTGACTGACAAAGCGAAGGACCAGAAAAGCTGCTTCTCTCAGTGCCTCCTGCCATCCCCCTCCCCTCAGTAGTCCCTCTACATTTAAAAATCTTATTAGTATCACTTTAAATCAGGTGAGCACTCCTTTGCTCTTTTGGATGTACTTAGGCATAAATGTACTTTGCTATCTCTTGGGTTCTCATTTTCACACTATTACATCTTTGTGTACTTTATCTCGGCCCCGCCCTACAGCTTTGATTTTTCCCATGACCTTATTCAAAACATAAAGAGAATAGACCCACTTGACTCTCTTTCTTCCTGGTTTTCTTCTTCATTCATTCCATCTCTCTCCTTGCTCTGTAAAACTGCCCTTGATTCAGCATCACACATTTTAATCTTTAGTTGTGTGTGTTACTCGTATTTTAAAGAGCCTACACCCTGGATGCTGACTTAAAAATTTTTCCAGGCAAATTTATTGAAGGTTGGGGCGATATTTAATCATCTTTGTATCTCCAGTGCCTAGCAAGAAGGCAAGATTCAGTGGTTGGATCAACACAATCCATATCTGGAAGTACACCTGGGTGTTATTCAAATCAAGAGTCAGGAAGGAAAGGCAATTTAAAAATACACTCTCAGCATCTGTATTGGGCAATTGCTACGGGGAATAAAGAGACAAAGAAGCAGTCCCTCCCCTCAATGAGCTTCCGATCTACTGGTGGTGCCAAAGCCCTAACACATGGAAAGATAAATAATGACAGGCTGGTAGCAGAATAAAGGCCTCCCTAAAATGTCCACATCTTAATGGAAACTGTGAATATGTTACTTTACGTGACTAAAGAGGCTTTGAAGATGTAATTAAGTCAAAGCTCCAAGATGGGGAGCTTATCCTGGATTATCCAGCAGGGCCCAATGTAATCACATGAGTCCTTATAAAGGAAAGAGGGAGGCAAGAGAGTCCAACTTCCGCAATATGAGAGGAACTTGACCGGCCACTGTTGGCTATGTGTCAAGAAATGGAACCAGACGCTAGAAGCTGGAAAAGGCAGACAGGAACACAGCCCTGCCTACCCCTTGATTTTAGTCCAGGAAGACCCATCTCGGACTTCTGATCTTCAGATTGCAAGGTAACAAATTCGTGTTGTTTTAAGCCACTTGCGGCAATTTGTTACAGCAGCCACAGGAAACTAACACAAACAGCGAACTTAAATGAGACAAAAGTTCAGAAAATAGTGTCATAGGTCAATGTGCCAGAAATTGCCAAATACTGGAGTCTCTACGGTAATGCCATATATGGATCCTCCCTCTCCCCCCAAAAAAACCTTACTTCTGCAAAATCAAGCATGAAAAATAATTGGGCTTATGGGAAAAGTAGGGTTGGGGCAGATCATTAAAAACTTATGGAACTTACACCCAGAGCACTAATAAAAACAATAACAAGCTAATAAAAATATAAGAAGGGTTCATCCCCACTGGCTTTGCAGCTACATCAGTCAGTCCATCCTTCACAGCTTTGTACCTGGGCTCACTTTCTCCTTGAGAATGTAAAGTTCATAAGGGCATTTGTTTCTGAGAGTGACTTGCTTCATTAAAATTAAAAATACAATCCTGAGAGTGTCTTCTCCGTCAGTCATTTCTTTTTAAACACTAGGGGAAATGTCTTTGCAAATCCTTCATCTTCACGTGCAACTTCCCCAGACATATTGGAAAGTCCAGTTTCTTGAAGTTATGAAACCAGCTTCCTACTTGCACCAATGGAAGACACTTTTGCAAGATATTCAGATTATTTTTTTTCTCAAAGTTTTTATATAGTGCTGAAACTTTCTATTTAACCCTGAAAACCCTTGCTGCTTGTTGCTTCAAAATGTTGATCGGCTTGAGAAAACTGAGTAAGAGCAGACTGTAACCACGGAAGCAATGGGTGCTCTGAGTTCAAGCAAGGACGGCATGGTTGGAGAAGACCTCCTACTGGAGGTGCCCGTGAGCTGAGCCTTGAGAATGAGTAAGACTGTGGAGGGTATAGGGTTACCTTCCATGTGGAGGGAGGAGAAATGGCAGCACCATCCAACATAGGGTGTCCCTGGTGGGCTGTGTTTGGCTCAGGCACCACTGGCTGGCTGGTGCAATCACGATGGCCGGAGGTAGCAGTCCCCCCATACACGTGGCTGCTTCTCACGGTATTGCCCTGTGGGCATGTAGCAGCTTCTCTCAAAGAGGCAGCGCCACCCCCATGCTCACGCTTACTTATATTGCAGCTTCCTAACGTAACCTTCTAGCTGCTTCGCCCCTGTAATTTCCCCTTCAAAACAGCCTTCCGTGATTTTGTGGCATTGACACTCTTGGAGGAAATAAAAATACAGAAGAACAGGTTCTAGAGATGCATGCTTTCCCAACCTTTCCAGCCAAGGTCCTTCAAATGATTTTCACGCCTCTGCCTGTCACAGAACATTGAGAGAATAGGTCCCACCAACAGAGCAGATGGGCAGGTGGGCCTTCGAATGTATACCCTGCCCCACAGATATTAGTGATGAGGATTTTAGGCTGGTTACTTTTAAAAACTACAGATGAGAAGGAAGCTCGGAGGAGGAGTGGAAATTGCTTGCCCTTTGATGAGAGACATTTGCATTTGTGAAGGAAGTCTCCGTCTGTGGGGGGTGCCTCCCTCTCTGCACCAGGAGGAAGGCGGGATGGCCTTATCTCTAGAAACTCTTAATGGGGAAGGCAAGAACTTAAGTTGTTTACTGTCTGGCAACCTCATGTAACTGACTCCCCCCCCCCCCCCCCCAACATCCTCCTTTGTCTTTAGCTGAAGATAATATTCAAGCAGTGGCTTCTGCCATTTACTTAATCCGGTTCGATTCTTATCTAAAAGTTATAGGACCACCCAATAACCAGACCCTACAGGCACTGAGACCATTTTAACAACTTTTTTACATATTCTTTCCTTTGTCTTGTAAAGAGATAACTCACATACCGATGCCTTAAATTTAGTCCTACCCTCAACTCACGTTGGCAGCAGCAGCAGCAGCAGCAGCAGCATCTCCTCCTGCCCGTGGGTCCTGTCCCCATGCAGCAGCTCTGACTGCCCATGGGTCCTGTCCCCATGCTATTCCACACTATTCTCTAAATAAAAGAGCACTACTGCTGGACCTTGAGGGTCCAAGAAATCTTTCTTTTGACTCCTCGGCTCACCGACCCCGCATCATTTCAACCTCCTATATACAGTGCATTTATACCCCTTTCTCAGTCTAAGAGCCACTTTTAATCCACGTCTATTGCTCTTCCTCCACATCCTGTGCAGTCAATTTTTTTCTCCCTCCTACCCTCTACATTCTCTGTGTTTGTTTCTCCCCTTCGCCCTTCAAATCCACCCTCTAAATTTGAAGGTGACACTCTGGGCAGGAAGGAGCTGCAGAGCCCCATGTGTAATGCTCTCTGGACACACCAGATCTTGTACTTATTGTGCTCTGTCCTTGCTGTTCACTGCACCTGTCCTGCTTACACTCTGCCTCCTGGACTCAGGGCTGGCCTTGGCCTTTGTTCCCAAAGAGCTGCACATTCATCACAGTGTTTTCACACTCTCTCCTGCCTGCCTGCCTGCTGTTCACTCAGAAGTAAACTCAGCGATCACTTGATGTCTGGGCTGCGGAGTAAGCCCTGTCGGTAGGGAAATATATCCTTAAGAGGGTTCAAAGGAAAGCCACAGAAGATGGGGGAAACTGAGGCCGCACAACCTGGAGAAGAAGGCGTGGCCCTGGGGGACTTGTAAATGTGGTTCTTCCACAGAAGGTGGGAAAGGAGCCCCTTTCTTTCTGCACAACAAGCAAGGCATAGCCTTCACTGAAACTTTCCTAAGAGGGAAGAGCTGCAGGAAGAAGGAGTATCAAGGAAATGGAGCCGGTGCTCACTCTATCATGATCTCAAAAAGATTCAGAAAGAGATGTGGGAATGAGATACACGTATGCAACTTTTCCACTCACTCACTCAAGAAATAAGAATGAGAAGTGAGTTACCTGTGATGGATTAGCAAATGCTGATAAGGGGCAGGCTGAATATGCAAGTGAACTGGATTTAAATTACACTTTAAGGAGCTCTGTGAAGGGCAATTAGGAATCCTTCCCTTTGGAAGGCCTTAAAAAGAGGACCCATTAAACTTGGTTTAATGGGGACTTGTTAAAGGCAAGGGGAGGAAAGAATTATGGAGAGAACTTCCCCCCCAGGCGCTCGGCCCCACCGGTGGCACAGCGCCTGCAGGTGTAAATATTTGCTGACTAGTTGGTTCAGCAGCTCATTGGGTTGCCACACCCTCCTGCTGCTGAGGTCTCTGATTTTAAACTGGTGCGGGAGAATGAGATTGGCCTTTGTGTTCTAAAGGAGGGGCGAGAAGAACAATGGACCTTGACCTTCAGTTAACACCATGGGGAAACAATCTCCATAATCCACCGAACCCCAGTCATGCCACTGGATTAGCAAAGCTATCAGGTGGTGTTTCTCCAAGTAGCCTATTCCAGGACAATGCTCTAGAGAAAAGCTTGGGAGGTTGGCACAATACAGTACAGGAGTGGGAGGGAGTGGAGAGGAAAGAAAGGGACTTACGTGTTTTTAAAAGTTGCTGCCTAAAGATAAGTTTGTTTATGCAACTTCTCGTGCTGATGGAGGAGAACTCTGTGAAACCAGGATAGAAAGAACTTCAGTCAGCAAAGAAATACACAGTTCACATCAGCCAGGGGTGGGGAGAATGGCTGGGCAGGGACTGAGTCTATAAATAGTTAGAGAGTAATAATTTTTGAAGGCCTAGCTGGGGCTAGGTGTCTGATCTAATTTCGTTTGTATGAAGTGGTGATTTGGAGCCTACATTCAGAAAACCAGTTTCCTAATGAAGCACCAGACTACAGAGAGAGGTCTCTAAATAGACCCAGACCATCACTGGATTAAAATGATGACTTCCTGGTCTTGGGTGCCAGATGGCTCCACCATTGGCCTAGCACTGACCTCTGGGTAACAGAGCCTTGCCATCAGGGAACAGGGTTGGGGAGGCATTGAGGCCAATGGGGGAATTATAAAAGAAGGCAGTCATCTCTATGAGTCCTGGCTATTACGAGGAAATGATCTAAAAAATGAAAATGAATATGCATATCATAAACTGGAACAGAGCTTTTACTGAAGGGCAGTTTGGGGAAGCTCATTCACTTCAAGATATTAAAACCCACTTTTTGTCTGAGTGGAGACACTGAAACCTCCTCCTGGCTGCTCTGGGCTCTGAGGGTAACCACGTCATGCCCGGGCACCTCTCTCAGGTGGGGCAGGCTCCAGAGGAGGAAGCCTTTACTTGGGTAATTTTGTGGAAGAGCAGACGTCAATGAAAGTTTCTTTGACTCATTGATAAGCTCTTTCATCTGTTATTAGTATCCAGGAGACAAATTTCAAAATCCTCCTCAAGCAGAACTTGAGGAGATCCAAGGACACGGTCATAAAGCCTGGGGAATGTGTCACTAGGCGGATGGACACGGCAGCAACATAAAAGAGTGTGGGTGTGGGGCTCAAATCCAGCCACAGGCAGCGTTTTTTCAGCAGAGGGCAACACCACTGGCTGTGCTGGGTCGCCTCTCCCAGGAGGATCCCGGCTTAGAGGAGATGGACAGAGGTGTCCGAATATCCACGTGACTGTTAAGGACATTGGGTGAAGCTCAGTGTGAAACACCGTGAGACTCCAGATTAAGGTTTAAATGTTGGCCAAATGCTCACGTGGGAATTTTTTTTAGGTCGTGACTTCCTTCTTGGATGTGGAGGCCAAGGCATAAGCTGGAGGATGGAGGGTTGGCGTAACTCTACAAGAAGTGTTTCCTCAGACTTCTGGGTGGATTCTTGAGTCAATAGAAACCTGATACTGCTGAGAAGTAACCAGCTCCTTGGAGCACAGGCTCTTGGGCCCGGAGACAGTGTCATGCACACCCATCCATCCATTCCTATTTGGAGCTGAAACCTCCCGAACAGTGAGAGAAGGTAATTTCTGCAGCAGCATTTGCTGTTCCACAGCTGGAAGGGGAGCTAAATGGAGTGCAGGAAAGCGACTATGGAGTTCACTGAGTTATAGAGCAATCTCCCTTTCAAACCTCCTAAGAAATCATCACTAAGGATACATTTTTTCAGACTCTTGGGATGGTCGGTCTTGTAGCTGTTGTAAAATGGAAGAATTGCCCCAGCACCATTCTACCTTTCTGATGACTGCTGAAAATGTGGTGACGTGGAACACCAAAAGCATATCCCCTTGCCAAGAGGAAATCCCTCGTTAATGGCTTCCCAGTAATGGTTTCTCATAAAATGGTGTTTAAAAACATTTTTATATAGGAAATATTCACGCAGAATAGAAAGCTAGGCAAAATAGCTTATTTTATGACCTCAGAACATCTCGTTTTCTTTTTCTCTCTCTTCTCTGTTTCTGAGTTCTGTTTGGCTTAAATGCATAAAGGTGTGTTTTTTTTTTGTTTTTTTTTTTAGGAAGATTAGCCCTGAGCTCACATGTGCTGCCAATCCTCCTCTTTTTGCTGAGGAAGACTGGCCCTGAGCTAACATCCATGCCCATCTTCCTCTACTCTATATGTGGGATGCCTGCCACAGCATGGCTTGCCAAACAGTGCCAGGTCTGTACCCGGGGTCTGAACCGGTGAACCCCAGGCTGCCAAAGCGGAAGGTGTGAACTTAACCGCTGTTCCACCAGGCCAGCCCCTGTGCATAAAGATTTGACCACTGAAATCTTTCACAGAAGTAGGTTAGGAGGACAAAGTGTTGAGACAGAAGGAATTTTTAGCCAGCAACTTCCCAATAGCATGAGATTTCCCTTTTCTTCTTTTTGTTCTTCAGAGGAGAGCAGGTTGTGTGGGGTGAGACATGACTACCAGCTGCCGAGGCAGGAAATGCTGTCTCGTGACACCACATTTTAAAAGGAAGAGAATTTAGGAAATGGTAATATATTTATGATTTACTTCTTTCCTTGTGTTCAATGCCACTGACTTCCTCATGCTTTGTAGTTGCTCAGAATGTGGCTTGCAAATCCCAAAGGGTGCCCATGAAATGGACTTTAGTGGCCACACTTTTCCATTAAAAGGTTAATGTGTTTTTTCAGTTGGTCAGAAGGTATTTATAGACCATTCCCCGGGCTCACAGTGATGCAATGGGTCTTTAGGGACACCAATTAAAGAGCAGGCTTGGGCCCTGCCCAGCTGTATTTACAACCTTTTGAAAGAGGAGGCCTCTTGTAATGAAAGGAGCTCTCCCTGTGGATCATGGATCCGGGTGTAGGCAGAGGGAGTGGCAGCAAAGAGACCCAGCGTGGGGGAGATCAGCAGAAACATCTGGCTGGGACTCCAAATTCAAACTTGTACTGGATTCTGGAAAAAAAAATAAAATAAAAGGAAGTGGCCTAGGCCTCTCTCAACGTCTGAGAGAAACTGGCAGGGAAGAGGGGTACAAGCAGTAAGGCCACTGTGACGATGCACGGCCGTCCCAGCGCCCAGGGCCCTCCCCTCTCCTCTCTGTTTCTACATACTTCTGACTTCTGTCCAGATCGGTCATCTGGCCCTTGTCCTCTTGTGCCCAGCACTCTTCCTGATCTTTTGATGCTTACACATTAACTCCCAAAATAGATCGGGAGGTTGCTGGTGTCACAGAAACAATGTGAGTTTGAAGTAAGTCAGATCTGGGTCAAAATCCTCTGCACACATTTATAACATTATATTTTATGTTCCTACCCTGTCATATGGGGGCACTCATGCCTACTATTGAGGGTAGGTGGAGGGTAGATGGGAAGACCGTAAAGTCGCTCATGTGTGTCAAACACACAGCACAGTGCCTGGCACACGACAGAGGCTCAATGAAGATTCCTCGTCCTTTGGCCCCTTAGGAGGAGCCAGTCACAGGGATTTGCCCACACTGATGTGTGAGTGGAACAGACAGGGCATTACCTCTGGCTGTGCTGTTTACCACACGCGAGGTCCCCCCAGTTTCCCTGTTTCTAAAGAGAAGATAATGTCATGAGATTGGTGTCAGGATTGAAATGAGAAAATGATTGAGTGTGCCTGTCATATGGCAGGAACTCAATAAATGTTGGTTTCCAACTTTAAACTTGTTTGTTATATGCCATCTCAGCACCCTGAGATGTCCCCACATACAGCTGCATCCCCTATCATTGCCTTAGGTGGAGCCCCATTGGGTGACTCAGCCAGATATGGTTCCAGGGAACTGCCATTTCCAAAACCAGCCTCGCTCAGCTTTCCATCTTTATGCCAGCCCTCGCTGTTCCGTGTGACCTGATTTTCCCTGTGAAGCCCATTCTGGGATAGGGGTAGAGTTTCTGCTGAGCCCTAACATGCCTCATTTGTCATAGTGGCTCTGCACTGTCACACCCTCCCACTCCTCGCCTCTCCAGGGCTTGCCTAGCAGACAGCAGCATGCTTTGAGCCCACGAAGGAAAAATCAGGCTCAATAAACCTAAGAGAAAATCTGAGAATAGTCTAAGGAACTCAGTGCTCAGGTCATAAGAGGAGGTGACCTTGTTTCATAAGGGAGTCATTGCTAGTTCAATAGAATAACTTTTTGAATTATTGTGGATCTGGCAGACGTCATGTGTGTAGGGGAAGAAAAATAACTTTCCCTCTACCCGTCTGAGTTCTTAGCCGAGACCTGTGTAATAAAAGACGGATCAACAGGAGAAAAAGAAGCAGAAACTTGTTAACATGTATACTTCATGTATACATGGGAGATGTCCAGGTTAAAATGAGTAACACAGAGAAGTGACTTAGAATTCAGGCTTAAATACCATCTTCACAGGGAAAGGGCAGTGAGGGTATGGGCCTCTTAGGGGAGAAGACATGATTTTCAGAAAAGATGAAGGGCTGGCCTGAGGTGCAGCGGTTAAGTTCGCATGTTCCACTTCTTGGCGGCCCCGGGTTCGCCGGTTCGGATCCCGGTTGTGGACATGACACCGCTTGGCACGCCATGCTGTGGTAGGCGTCCCACGTATAAAGTAGAGGAAGATGGGCACGATGTTAGCTCAGGGCCAGGCTTCCTCAGCAAAAAGAGGAGGACTGGCAGTAGTTAGCTCAGGGCTAATCTTCCTCAAAAAAAAAAAGAAAAGAAAAGGTGAAGGGGCTTTTAGAAGAATAGATGGAAGGTGTGATAGTTGGTGACAAAGTGTGTCTGGGTTTGGACTTCTAGTCTCCACTCCTGTGACAAGAGTCAATTCTCCCCAGTTGAAACTCCCAGGGGAGGGGATTTATGACAACTGAGTTCCTTTTGGGGGATCTGTTTTTAGTTACATAAGAGAGTTCAGAGAAAGCATTCGCCTACAGGTCAAAATAATCAACACACCAAAGTGGTATATTTTGAGGTGGGATGTTCTGCCACCCTTCATGTGCAATCATTGGTAAAGGATTGTGGACAATTTTGAAGAGAACACCAGGAGCATCTTTCTGGGCCACTGAAGGCAAAACAAGGAATCTGCTGTCCCTTTGTACAAGATGTCCCATACAATGTTTATGATCCATCAGGCATTTAATGAAGCACTTTCAAGTGAATAATAGGCAGGAGACTACAAAGATTCCACTGGCATTTTGCAAAGTAGAGTGTGAAATACAAGTTTTTGCCAGCTTTTTCATATCCCCTGCCAAACCCAAGGAGGAAAGGAAGAAATGGCCGGGAGGAAGAAGCGTTTGCTCATCAGATGGTTAAATGTGGTGTGATAGTGTTCTACCAGAAATCTTGAAACACTCAACATAGGTTCGCTTTGCTTCAAACAGACCCAAAGGGAAAAAATCTGGAGATACACACACCACACAGCAGCGCTACGTGAAACATCTGTGTATAACTCATACTCTGTGCTGGCTGTTTGCCTGTGGGCTCTCAACTCCATTCCCACACTCCCTGCCCTTCTCCGTAGGGGTCTGGAAGCCAGCAAACTACATTTCCCAGACTCCCCAGCCAGCTGGCTTCCGATTAGTTTCTACCCATGGGAGACACTGGTGGGAGATTGGAAGGTAGGTGGAAAGGAGAAGCCAATTTTTTCGACTTCTGCTGAACTGCTTGGCAGTGGCAGCAGCGGCAGAAGTGGGTGAATGGGTTTGTGCGCAGGTGGTCCAGTTTCAATAGCAGTGGGGGCAGAGGATGCTCCTGCAGCCTCCTCACCCAGGATTCCTGGCCCTGCCTCTGGCAGCAGTGGCAGCATCAGTGAGTGACAGGCAACTGTGGGCGGGAGTTCAGCCTCCTGGTTTCCTGAGAGATGTTCCAGCAACAGCAGTTGAGCAGTGGGTATACCAGGGCCTCAGCGATGGAGCAATCGCGGGTTCTGGATAACACCATTTCGTCTTTTGCTCAGTCAGCCTTAGGATGGTAGTACTTTCCTGCAGTTACTAATTTCTGAGTGATTCTCAGTTCTCTTTTTTCCTTGGACAGCCCTTCAACACGATTGCAGCCAATTTCCTACGTTAATGCCCCTCTATTTGAAATTCCTGTAGTGGTTTCTGTTTCGCTGACTGGATGCTGACCAACACACACACACACACACACACACAGACATATAAACTAAATGCAAAATTTGAAGGTAAATCAAGTTAACATTTTAATGTGTTTAATCTCCTCCTCCACTTGCATTGTGGAGCTTACAGAAAGGAAGGGAAAAGCAAGACTTTATCCCCAAAAATTCAACAATAAAACTCAGTTTCTTGTCATATGCCCTGCAGCCTCCACCAAAGAAAAGAGGTTAAAGTGACAATATTCTAGAACCAGAGAATTTCCTTTGAGAGATGTCTGTCTATAACATTAGTCCACAATGACTTTAAAAATAGATACCCTTTCAACAAGTGTTTTTTTGTGTTAGACCTTTCAAATATGTTGTTTCATTAAATTACCATAATAACCCTAGAAGTTAGGTATTATTATTCTCATTTCAAAAGTTTTTTTTTGAAAGATTTTATTTTTTTCCTTTTTCTCCCCAAAGACCCCTGGCACATAATTGTATATTCTTCGTTGTGGGTTCTTCTAGTTGTGGCATGTGGGACGCTGCCTCAGCGTGGTTTGATGAGCAGTGCCATGTCTGAGCCCAGGATTCGAACCAATGAAGCACTGGACCGCCTGCAGCGGAGCACGTGAACTTAACCACTCGGCCACGGGGCCAGCCCCATTATTCTCATTTCATATCTGAGGAAAATAAAATATTTTTAATGCACTGGTTGACTGTTTAGGGGCTATACGTCCCTCTCTTTCTAGTATGCATTCTTTTTGCAACATGACCTAGGCGTTCCTCCCATGCAGTGGCTCAGTCTATCTCTTCACTCCCTAGAGTTTGAAGTGACCTTGTGACTTACTGTGGCCCACAGAATGTGCTCGAAGAGACATGCGAGTTCCAGAGCCCGGCTCAAGAGCTTCTGCCTTTGTTCACTTGGAACATTCTCCTGTAATGTCCCTGAATGCAGGAGGCCCAGCCTATTGGAGAATGAGAGGCCATGTGGAG